TTTTTTTCGAGTTGGCGATTTTAATTGTTAATGAGTGGGAAAAGGCAACGACTAATTGACGAGTTTTTCAAGCCGATTATGAACAGGCGTTCGGAACGTGACAAAAGTGAGATTCCGATTTTTCTGTTTTTTCTCGAATTTTTCTGTATTTTTTGCGGGAAATTTTCTTGATTTTTTAGTGTTTTTTGGTTAGAAATTTGAATATCGTATCGATTTTGAGGGAATTTGTAATGTCTGTGATCGCAGAAGAGGAAATATCTTAGGTTGCTCATTGTACCCCCACGGATAAGGTTGGGAAATGGACAAAAAACGAAATTTGAAAATATTCGCGACTTTGATTATGGAAAAAGTATCCACGTTACAGGGAGGTGTTGATGGAGTTGAACCTGTGGAATGATGAAAGAAAACGCAGCGATGACGAGTAGATAATTTCATTCCGGATCGAAGTGTAGCTCCTAACACGATCAGATGAGACTCTTCGTAAGGTACAAAACAGGTTAAGACGTTAACCGCTGATTCGAATCTGAGAAAAGCGGAAGAACTGGTCGGTGGGGGTTTCTTTGAAGGCGCTGTTTTGTTGCTAGACGAGAACAACATCGTTGGTGATTACCGGAAATATTTACTCGGACGATTAAAGGCAGTTGGAGCTCGGGCGTCTACAGAGGATGATGATAACGGTGAGTTGGGGAAGCATTTTAATGTCAACTAAAGTGGAGAAGAAAATATGCACATGGTCAACTACATGTGTTGGTGATAATATATATTCTCGAATTCGTGTGTAGACTTGTAAAATTGATATATTCCAACACCGAATTGAACGGTGCATAGAAGACGAGTATTTCCCATAAAAAATATTTTTTTTTAAATCAACGGTAAACTCAGAAGATACTCTTCTGAGTTTACCCCTTTGAAAAAAAATTTGTGATGATGTTTGCCGTAAGAGAACTAAAAGCAATGGTCAGTGGAAGCTAGAGATTCTATCTACAATAGGATCATCAAAGCTTAATTCCAAATACAGTTACTGAGTAATTTCACTTAAACCATTGCAGCACCTGATAGGAAGCAACTTCGCTCGCCGAATTGAATCACTGCTGATAGTGTTGAAATATATGTTCGCTCTCCTCAGCTGAGTTTATACACGACTTGGGATAAAAACATGTAGAGATCGATGAGAAATTTTCTCAAAATTTCCACAGAATTTGACATGTAGTTGAGCATGTGCAAGAGTGGCCCTCAGTTTCTCGGTCGCAGGTTCGATCCCGGCAGCTGTCGTTTTGTCCATCAACAGCTGCGGTTTGGAGGACATCGATGAGCATCCGCTTATTCGCAGCATCGCCTCTCGAACAGACCGACCCGTGTGCTTCCGGTACCCTACAGCGGCGATGTAAGCACGGCGGAGCGAAGCGATTCTTGTTTGTCATTTTTCAATATCGAAGAAAACACATCAAATTTAGCGAATTTGTGTTTGGTCATTTACGCTAGGAACATTTTCGTATTTTCTCCCAATTTTACGTCGAGTTCATCTCGAAATAAAAAACATAGGAATAATTTTTTGCCATTTTCCATTAGTTTTTTCCGCCGAAAATTTTTCGTTGATTTACAGTTATCGAATATCAGGTTGAAAGAGATCTCATATAATCGGCGAAAAGTTGGAGTCACATTGGCGCGGTTGAGCGAGGAGGCTGGGCCTCAGGTTTTCGTTGTTTACAGCGATGTGCTCGAGTGTTGGCTTGACGACGATTTTAGAGAACCTCAGCTGCCGTTTCCATGGATGGTTTGAGTCGCCGCTTTTGGCTGTTGTTGTTGTTGGGGTAATTATTTCCGATAAATGGATGTTTTTACACAGATATTTACGTTATCATGGCGAACGTGTCATTCCGTCAAGCATCGGCGCACCAGAGGCGAACTCGGTTTTTCAATTACGCCTCGTCGGAGTTCCCCGATCTCACGAGACCATTGACGGCCCCGTCAGCTGGCGAAAGCTCGGGTGGGTTGATTTTACTCGGGGAAAAACGTTCCGAAATCGATATTTATTTCAGGCAGCGAAGTGGCTCGTGGTGTCAAAACTAACAATTTGATCGGCTTGAAGGCTCTTCTGTTGGACCCCGTGAATGTGAGTCGCGGGTATATGATACTGTCCGATCGAAAAATTCGCGCGCAGCTGATCTTGGTCATTCACAGTATGAAAATTGGGTATAGAATCAGTTTCTTAATATACGTTGGCTTTCTTCAACTGAGCTCAGGAGTTATCTCACCTATTATAGAAGTTTTCATGTGAATTCGGGTAGAACCAAGAATAATGTTGCAAAAATTCCTCAGAATTTTTTTCATATTGCCACCAACACATGTAGTGCAAATTTCTTATTATTTGAACTCCACATCTTCCCAATGTTCAAACTTAGAACGATTCATATCAGCTCTAGACGACGGAGTTTCATCCGTTTTACGCGAGGTGAAAACCGCGATATTCGCGGTGATATGCAGTAGTCGTGAAATATGTTTTTCTCTGGTGTTTTTCATATCACTTTTTCGAATCTCGAGATACTCTGCGTCTTCACTCCGATCGGCGTCGCATCCAGCATTCTGGGGTGGTCGCCTGCGTGGGTCTTCGCCACCAACTTCATCGCCTTGATACCTCTCGCGAAGATTCTTGGTAAAAATCGTCGAGTTTCATGTCGTTATTATCAAGGACCCCGTCAACTTTGATAGCCGCAGGGTTTGATGACAGGATTTGGCTGGTGTATTTCGCGAATCGTTTTCTTTTTTCGAATATCACGTTTTTCACGTGGAGTATCACGCCACTTTGCGTTTTCAACTTGATGACATTTACATTGAAAACTGATTGGAGAATATGTTCCCAGCCATGTGGGAATGAGTTTCTTCCCGGGAACAATATAAGTGTCTTTTAAATATAACTGATATTGTGCATCGTTTGCTCAGGTGATGCTACTGAGGAGCTCGCAGTCGGGCTCCGAAATGACACGCTGGGCGGCCTGCTTAATGCGACGTTCGGAAACGCAGTTGAGATGATCCTCACAGTTCAATCTCTGTTGAAGGGGCTCGTGACAGTTGTGAAAGGAACACTGTTGGGGTCGATCTTGTCGAACCTGTTGTTGGTAAGTGGTATTTTCTAACATAATCGTCGGAATTTTTCGCTCAGTTTAGTTTATAGAGTCAACGTTTATGTAGTATTCAGCTCGAAAGAGGAATTTCCAGAAGTTTTCTGTCGGAATTTTCCCCCTTTTTTCGATTGAAAAACTTTCAGGTGCTGGGGATGTCCTTTTTCTTCGGAGGAATCGGCCATTTGGGAAAAGAACAAGAATTCAAAGAGACGGGTCCGATGACGAACATGAGCATGTTGCTGCTAGCTTGTGCGGCTTTTGCAATGCCAACGGTGGGAAAAAAATTCCGAATTCGGAATAATTTCCCCACGGCGATTTACTTAGGTATTCGAGGCAGGGTTCAAGCACGAAATGGAGAAGGCGGAGTTGCAAAGCACCGTTTTGGAGATTTCCAGAGTCGTCTCCATTTTCTTGTTGCTCAGCTACATCTGTTTTCTGATCTTCCAGATGTATCACTAAAATGTCACGTGCTGGGATCGAACCGGGGAGATGTCAGGTATACTCACTTGTCGATCTTTGAAAGCGAGGGCGGCGAAAATGAGGACGAGCCGACTATAAACGTTCCGACGTCTTTAACATTACTATTAGTAAGGAGGAGGTCTCAGGGGAAGTCAGTGCTTCAAAATATATTCGCTTTCTTCGGTTGAGCTGAATAGTTCACTCAGAGTTTATATACGGAAGTGTACAGAAACTAACAGTTATTTTTCTAAGTTTTGGTATTATCACCAACACATGTGCATATTCTTTCACGCTGGGGGGAGTATTCGCAGCGCTGGAATATATCTTCGCTTTCCTCAGCTGAGTTAGGAAGTTCTGTCACTAATCGTAGGAGTTCAATTTTGTCAAAAGTGTACAGAAACGAACAAGAATCTCCCGAAGTTCCCGTATTGCCGTCAACACAAGATATTCCGAGTTAAGCGCTACCAATAAAGTAGATACCTATAAAAAGTTTTTAAAACCAATACTCAGTATTATGGAAAACTATGAGTATTATTAATAAAAACTTTTTATAGGTATCTACTTTATTGGTAGCGCTTAACTCGGAGTATCTGGTGGGGTCGATTGAAGGAGTTGTGTAAGTTGCTACAGGTGATGGCCTGTTTCGGACCTATTTTGAATCTTTTCAGATCGAGCTATTCTGTATCTTCATCGTTCATCGGTGTGATACTACTACCAATAGTTGGCAATGCGTGTGAACATGCCTCGGCCATTCGCATGTGTATAGTTGATAAGCCTGAAATCGCAATTGGAATCGCGGTTGGATCGTGCACACAAATTGCTCTTTTCGTGGTAAGTGTTACGAATATCAAATTACCACTCAGTGTTGGAATATATGTTTGCTCTGCTTATCTGAGCTCAGGAGTTTCCTCAGCAATTACATGAGTTCATAATTGAGATTTTCCCTAAAAATCTTCATCATGTTACCACCAAGTTGTTGCTCATCATGTGCATATTTTCCCACAGTGTCGTCTTCTTTCGAGAATCTTTTATATCGTTTTTGGATAGAACTGCACTAGCGGTTATAGCTTAGTACTATACTAGACTGTGGTATATAAGCCGCGACATAATAATATCTGATTCTGCTCCCCTTGGGCAATGAAAAGTTATGCCGGCGACATCAAAAAGGAATTTTATATCACGCGTAATATATAAGTAGTTTAATGAAATAAAGTGCTCACTGCAGGGTTCGAACCCGGGTGTGTCACGCTCAGGTGCCATTCGCTGTTATTGTGGGTTGGTGCATGAGCATTTCCATGGATCTCAATTTCGGCATGCTGGGTGTAGTGATCCTGGTAAGCGAACGAATCGATCTGTATTCCTGTATGGGTGCGTTTTCAAGGTTTTATCGGTGATAATCGCGATGTCGATCGTGGTGAACGGCAAGACCAACTGGCTTGAAGGTCTCATGCTTCAACTAACTTATATCATTGTTGCGGTCGTGTATTGGTAAGCAGTGTTCATAATCTTAAATCGGGAAGAATTTTCTGGCAATATGTAAAATATTGAAGTTTTCGAGAATAGAAAAGTAAATACGCACATGATTAACGACGATCTGAAATTTTTAGGGAATACCCGATGGTTTCTGTAGACCTTCCACTCTAATTTAAATGTAAAATTCCTGAGCTCAGCTGGGAAAGGGAACATATATACTAAGATTGTTCACCGGAAAGTCGCTATTTTCATAATTTTCTTCCTTGGTAAAAAATTAGCTCTTTCGAAGCGGCTGTTGTCATTGTTGTTGACGATGTTTATGTCGTATTCGTTGAGAGAATGCCTGCTAGTTCGTCAGAGGTTCGAACTGAGGTAAAACGACAACATGTGTGTAAACATATTAAAGCACAATAAAGACTATCAACAGTGTTGAAGCGACGGTCGATGGTATATGTGCTCAGGTTTGATCCCACCCCGGGGCAAGGTTCGAGTTGAGTCAGCAATTGCACGTGCTGTATTTTTGATGTTTTTGAGGATTTGATCGAAGCAAATTTCTTAATATCAGCTATGAAGGCTTCCGTTATTTCAGAGCAATTATTGAGTTGAGGACATAAATGCCCTACAGGGCTACGGGACACACGCTTTAGGATGCATGAATGTCCGAGTGAAGTTACCCTAATCAGTGTGGCACACACTGTGTGCGATTCCAGGGCGCGGAAATATGCACATGGTCAACAAGATATGTTGGGGACAACATAAAATTCTGAGGCGTGGAATCAAATTATTATTGTTTCCTGCGCACTTCTATTTGGATCCGTATGTAAACTCTTATAAAATCTGAAGAAACTCTTGAGCTCAGCTGAGTAGAGTGGACATATATTTCAACACTGTGCGATACATTCACAGGTTAAAACTGCGTAGAGGTTTCTATATTCTGATTAGTCTCATTGAGCTTCAGATTGGTTCTTTTCCTGTGTTTGAGCTTTTCCTGGTTCAGGAGGAATAGTTTGTAGGCATGTCGAAATGACCCGAATCGAAAATTAACGAGTCGGCAATTGTGAAACTGAGGTCGAGCGCATACATGTAGCGGCTCAGAAAAAAACAGTGGTTGCAAGCATGAACAGGCCGAAACTGGGCTCGTCAATTTTCGCTTTATATAACTCGACTCGCTCTGCAAACGACCAGAACTTGTTGACATTTTTCGATTGAAATCAAAAGCATTTGACTAACTCAGCATCGACAGGGAGTCGGACTATAAATGCCGCTCCGGGAGTGACGAAAATGGATAAAAAAGGTTAACTATAGTATGCTACCACTACGGTTTGTGATAGCGCGCGTAGACGAGGACCGGTTTCAAGGGGATATCTGAGTGTACGACTGATCCTGTGTTTCACTGAGGTGTATGCCTACCAATAATCTTGATAAACTCGAATGACTTATAGCGTTCAATAGCGTCTGCATCCGCACGGCCCACAGATACGTGTAAGACATCCCAGTTCACGTAGTTTGTAGTGATCTAGAAAACGACAGACATTCTGTTCATGTTAAAGGACATTGCGGAGCGAGCGAAGCGAGCGGAGCGTATACCGCAACAACAGGCACTCTCGCGTTGTGCGTGCGTGCGTGCGTGCAGAATTATTCTAGCTTAACTACGAAGCGTGGGAAGCTATCAGATAGATCAAACGACTCCTCTATATGCGGAGGTGTTGGGAAAAATCGGAAAGCTCCATTATGCGAACAGCTCGAAGAGATATGCACGAAAAAGTTTAATGATGGAGAAATGTCCCACCCGGGGATCGAACCGGGGACCTTTGTAAAATTCATTGATTGAGTCCATGGACGTGGACTCAGTGAGCTCCGCCCCTTCGTCACGAAGGCCTAGTAGTTGACTCACATAGTTGAAGATGCCCACTAAAAGAAAGGGTTCTATCTCTTTCCAAGGTGCGAGCCCTTTCATGTGCTCAACCTGAGAATCCATATAGTTGAGCGTTAAATGACACTGTGAGGCTCACCTTGAGTATCGACCCGAAGATCCCACCGGGTATTTTCGGGCTCCATGTTGGCCTGTAAAACATGGCAGTTCCACCAACACGAAGACGATGACTCACCTATGGGCTTCGATTGCAGCTTGGACAGAACGATCTATGTGTTCCTCAGGGATATTCATCTTGACCCCGCCAACGACAGTCTAACGGAACGGCAGAAGTTGTGGTAAGCAATCCAGTGGAGTCTCACATTAGAATGACGGATCACCGCTACCCAGCAGAGGAAGAGGTTACAGCCACCGAAGTCTTTTGGCATGAGGGAGAAGTCATCCCCCTTTTGGTATTGGCGATAATCCACATCGGCGAGCAAGCGTGGTGCGTGGTCCTCAGGCAACGAACGAGCCAGACAGGAGAAGCCAAGTAAGGCATACACCAGGGAGGCCACCAGGTTCATTTATGATGGGCTAAATATCTATCCACCTGTAAGAAGTCATGACAGACACGATTACCGACATACACGATCACCGTTGGAGGTGGTTGTCTAGATCGTCATATGGGTAATGTCATCCTAAGGCTCTCCATCCCTCTCATAGTGTCCTTGACTTCCCTCAACTCACACATAAGTGAAGATATTTAGCGAGTTTAGCTAAACATGATGAGACAGAGTCACGATACGTGCGGTCGCCATCGACCGTTCTGAGACGGCTGCTGCTGTCAGATTCTCGTCGTCTCATTTTATTCATTACTGTCATTAAGCCGTTGATTTTGTGGTCCTTACCATACGCTCTCTAATGAGCAATCTTGGATTTTCTACTACTGCTATGTAGTCCTCCGGGCTCGAGTTCGGTATCACTTGAGTTCCCAGGAAGCTGGGGTGACAGTAACTTCATACGCGTCACACTGGCTGATTATGTTCTCGAGCCAATTTTGAGTGCCCCTCGGTATAGCATTAATTTTAGGTCATTTAGGAATCATCAGTGCATATGGTGTTTCCTCCTATGGAGTAAAGTTCAATGAATCAGGGGTAAATACGTGCCGCATTCACGTATGCAAGCAAAGCGTGAATCGTTCACGGTGAATGTTTGAACGGGGCTTCGGAACAGCTTTACATGAGCAGTACTTGTTTAATAACTTATTAAAGCTATTTTGAGCAGCGCTTGGGGATGGGTCTGATCGACATTGTGACTACAAAGCTGCATGGTTGGACTGTACCGCAGTTAGTGGGCATGAATCTCGCAGTGAGACTCTCATTCACACGCGACTCACGTGACGTGAGGGAGTGTCTCACTCAGCATGTGACTCACGTGACGTGAGGGAGTGTCCCAAATCATATATTCATGTGGAACTACGAGTCGGTACAGCGGTGTTCGCGCACGTATGCTGCATACGGTGTGCACGAATCTCGCTCCGCCATTATTCGCTGCATGAAACGGCTCAGGTTGAAATGAATAAGATAAGAAGCCTTATCACCTATGGCTATCCCAGGTGTCGTTGAGTCACCCAGTGCGGATGTTACTACTAACAAGCGGTGCGAAGTGTTCCACGTCGCGTAACACTAGCGATACGACGATTCTCCACGGTTGAGAGTTTTGGGATTGAGAATCCATTGGGGTGACCCCAAGCTTCCATATCTCTTCGAGGCTCGAAGTTCGAGCAACCCTTTTCAACTCTTTGCTAATACATCACTATACTTTCGTGACGAAGAGGGAGAGCTCACTGAGGCTACGTCCATGGACCCAATCAATGAATTTTGCAGAAGATAACCTCCCGTGCTTCGTAGTTAAGCCAGAATAGTTCTGCACGCAGGCAAGCACACACAACGCGAAAGCGCCTGTTGTTGCGGCTCGCTTCGCTCGCTCCGCAAGGTAATAGCAGTTATTGACGATAAATTACATACAACTACTAGTTTACATGCAATAAATTAACTATGACTCATAGTTACTGAGTCATACTCATGATACCCTACTCAGAGTACTAATTACGCTAAGAGCTAGTCAACGTAGCAAATCAAGTCTATGAAGCAAGGCAGTCAAGATCCATACTCTTGTAGACGTCAACGATACGCTAAGATGGCTTCAGTCAGCGTCACTGGCGGAAGCCGCGCACTGACTCCGTGATTTGTGGCTTTCGGCAATTGCAAGGTTGTTGGTTCCTCGTGGCTGGTGTTCAAACGCAAATCAGATCAGAGGTGAAGTCGCTGACGAAAGCCAAAAATTGAGTCATTCAGCGTCTAACTTGCGAAAGGGCCCCCTTTCAAAGGGGGCAGTGGATCGGGTTGAAAGAAACAAGTCACAATCTACAAAGCAAATCCAATCTGGATCAGCACTTCCACAATATCAGAATTATCAGACTATTTCGCACCGCTGGCTAGGCTCGCCAGCTAGAGAGCTTGTGCCTGGCAGGCACAAGCAGGCACTGCCTGCGGTACAAACACGTATGCCTGGGGGAGACGCCAATCATAGGCAATGCATGATACGGTATGGGTGGTCGGTTTCCGAGGTTTACAGAATAACTCCCCCAGGGAGGTTATTCGTAAGCCCCGAGGTGATTTAGTGGGGGTTTATGAGATGGGAGTTCATTTTCTCGAGAATCGCGAGAATCCAATGAGCCTGCGTATCCATGCTACCTGTAGAAGTTGTGACGCCTGTCCCATTTTTGAGCAGCTGAGTTCTCAATCCGCGGCGAATCACAACAACATTGGTACCCTTCAGCAGGATGTTAACGTGCACACTACGGACGTGGTTTCTGGTTCTCAGCCAGGCTTGGCTACTACTGGGCAGGATCATCCTGCCAGGATGAGACTTCTCATCGTGAGAGGTCTAGATCGCCTGAGGTTGTCTTAGATGCAAGCATGGCTCGTCGTTTGCTTTCTGAGAAGCTTGGTGTTGAGCGTGATTTGTTGGTGTTTATGACCTCTACTGAAGCTAATACTCTAATAGACTCAGTTGACGATTTGTCCACTCGCTTGGCGCTGCGAAGGTGTTGGGCAGAAGTTGGCTTCGTCTGAAGGTGGATCCGTTAGGATGATGGGTCGGTCAGCGCAGCCACCGACTCAAGGACCAGTCTACCACGCCGAGTTACCGGTGGGTTCTAAGACTGGCCCTGTTAGCACGGTCTCCTTTGATCGACTTTATAACGATTCTCAGGATCATCGTTCTGACGTCAAGACCATGACTGCTATCGGTGAGCTTCCGATCCCGGGCGATAAGGTGTTTCAAGGTCGAGATGATGCGAGAAGCGTCTCCAATTTCTGTCGAGAGCTTGCTCTGACTGGTCAGTTGTATGGTTTGAACAGTGAGACGATGTTTCGTTATGTTCTTGGGTATCTATCCAGTACTGTGAAATCTGAGTTGTATGACTTACTGGAGCTACAGGCCCTGTAGCCCTGTAGTACAGAGTCTACTCATGGGAGCAGACTCAGTGGCCAGACTTGTCAAGGCCCAACAGTATCTGGTTGGCACTTAAATTAAGTGACTTAATGGTATTTCTAACGATGCCGTGAGGTATCGTGCTCGTCTCGTACGGTGTGTTCAAGGGAACACAGATTATGGGGAGCTATGTAAGCCGTCTTCGTGCTCTGTTGGTAGAGGGTCGCTGTATAGGCATCCAGAGTCTGGATTCCGGACGAGTCCATCAGAGACCTTGGCGAGATTCACTGAGGGTATGCGTCCTTTGTATAATAAGACTGCTACTATGGTTTATCCCCATGTCCGGAATGTTAATCAACTTGCTGAGAACCTGATCCTTTGGGAGGTCCATCAAGCAGCTACCACGACCGGTATGAGAATCAGCTACGTTGCCAGTAGAACCAGGCAGATCACAACACAAGGGATAGGTATGAGGAAGAAAACATACTTAGAGAGTGTACACACACATGAGCATTATAGCCATAGCCTAGCTAAATGATACTTTAGCAAGTAGGTCGACAACAGGTTTATGTTTACACCAACAGGCCATCCACGCTGGATTCCTGTTGGCGTGGTCCTTATTTTTATAGTTTTGTTGCTTGGTCGAAGTTCTACTCTGAGAACGAAGCGTGGTATCGAGACCCATTATGCTGGTAACCTAAAGCGTTGTAAGGTTAGTGAAGAGAGCTCCGGGGTAAGGCCCACTAGGTTTGCAGCTCAGGCTGAGCTGCTCAGCGCTCGCAGATTTTGACTCGTGATGTACTCAGAGAAGAATTCCAAGTTCAACGTGTTGAAGGCCAGTCGGAGGAGCGTTCAGCTGCTGAGGTGAACGCTGAGATTGGCAGGCTCCATAAAGCAGCCCGCCGTTAAGGGGACGAGGATGAAGAAGTTGTGACGCCTGTCCCATTTGCTCTTTTATTTTAAGCTTTGTGTCAACGCTAAGGCTAGTGATCGAATTATCACCTTGTTGCATAAGTATTGCTATAATCTGTTTTCCCCTTTAGTATGTCTGAGCAGCTGAGTTCTGAATTTGCGGAGAATCACAACAACCAACGGTTGGCCACTATGCCTCGTAAGGTGGACCCCAAGAAGTTGGATCCTCTCCAATACGTGAGAGAAACTGTGGTTGTCATAAATGGAGAGAGAGTGTCGAACTGGTCGATTTGATGAAGGTGAATGCAAGTTTGGAGGGGAGTGGGCTCACTATTTGTGAGTCACAAACGGCTCGACAAATTCAGGGATCACTTGATTATGTAAAATCACCAACTTATATAGTACTCCCACACTAGACCGACCGACAACTTATGTAGCTCTCCCACACTATACCGAGCAGTGGTCGGTATAGTGTGGGTCCCAACATGTTGAGACTAGGACATTCTTGTCATTGACAAGTTGTTACCAGCCAAGCTCATCTTGGCGTTCCACATGTTTGTCAGTGCACCGTGGAGTATAGCGCAGGGTACGGAGATCTGTTCACTCTTATGGTTGATTTGCCTCTTGTATGATATTGTTGTGCGATAAGAAGACGGTAGTTGACACAAACCTTCGGAATTAGAGTCTATGTAAATTTTGAACTAGCCATCATCGAGGAATAAGTGCAGAGGAAACCTACCCAGGGGTTGTTGGTACCAGTATTTGGATCCTATTGTAGGTAAACCATTCAGAGTTGTGTCAATTATTAGTATACCTAACTGTAGAAGTACCGTACAATTCAACATTGTTACGGTATTCACTGTATTATTGCTATAAATACAATCTAGCTAGATTGTATCATCACAATAGACAGCTAGACTAATACAGTCTAGCTTCTATTGTGGCCCACCCCCCCATAGTTCTTGAGATGGATGTACATTTGTGGCAATAGTATTGTGCTAGTTTCGTGATAACGCTCATAGCTTTGAGTATTCATGCCGTTCCCTTAGTTGTGCAATCTCTAGGGTTAGAATTTAGTAGGCTAATAATAACGGTCACTTGCTTTGGGCTCAGAGCCTGAACATTAGGTTCAGGGTGACTTACTGTCATTTCAGATAACGATAAACCTCAAATTGAGGTATATCATTCGCTAGTCACTATGCTTAGTCTGATGGGAGTGGCAAGAATTCGAAAAGCGTCGTTGATTATTATTGAGGTGGTCTATCCACTGACCATAGTCCATCTGAGATTGACCATCTCCGAAGTCCTCTTAGAGGACTCCTCTACGTGGGCGATTGGGATTAGTAATTGTTTACAGTCACGTGGCAAATCAGCGGTATGCAGTGAAGCTAATTGAAATGGCCTTAGCCAGGCAATATCATTTGCCAGAGAATGGCACCCCCCCTCCTAGATATAATGCCATGAGCGCTTGTAATATTACTACTATTATTATGTCTATGTCATATTTATTAGAAATGAACAAGATAGGGCGCAGCCCCGTTATACGGCTGCGGATAGGAAGGGCCCCCGTTTACGTGGTCTAAAAATAATCAGTGCTATAGTTGATAAAGAATATTGCTGCGGAAGCGGAGTTGAAGGTGGTTTAGTTTAATGCTGATGGTGCCAGACCAAGTCTACGAGAGATTCATCAGCTTCTGTTGAAGTCGGCTTGTGATCATCACAATGTGATGTATTATGCATCCAAGAAGCAAAACTTGGTGGTGGGATAACTAGTGGTTCCCTTAAGCTGGGCGGCTACCATCATGAGCGGCGAGATAGGCCTGATAGTGCAGGCCGGGGTGGGGGACTTCTGACCAGCGTGGGAGAATATATACATAGTCGGCTACCTGTGTTGTCAGCACAGTGTTGATGAGAATATGAAAATTCTGAGGAAAATTCGGAAAATTTCCAGCAATAACTAGGTTATTATAACCTCTCGGAGAGGTTATAATAACCTAGTTATTGCTGGATGAGGATGAGGCCCTCATGAGGGGAGTGATGTAGGTGCTGATTTTTAAGATTTAGATTTAGCTGCTGGTGGTGAGGGGTCGGAAAGCTGGTAAGAGTTTTGTTGTGGTGAATGTATACCATTCCTCGAGAGAATTTCTCCTTGGTCGAGGGGCCCTCGATAGCTCGCATCAATGTAGATTTATTGAACACTGTCCACTATGAGCCTCAGGAGGCAGAAAATGTTATTTTGTGTGGCGATCTAAGTGCTAGATCATTATCTTGGAGTGATGGTGAAAATGAGGATAATCCTCGTAGAATACAGTTGAAAGAATGGATAACTGATAGGGGCCATGTTTGTGTAAATGATGGAGATGTGACATATGTCTGTCGCCGTCTTGCTGCTGGTCATGGATCAACTGATTCACGTACTGTAGACTGCGAGCTAGCTGCACGCTCCGAATGTTACACTGTCCTTCAGTTTCTACTGGTACCGTTGCAGTTCATACAGTTGCCATCTGATGGCAGCTATCATTGATGGCCCATCAATACAATGACACACAATGTGGCTTAATTTCATACAGCTAGATTTCATGCAGTTGCCGGCGGCAACTTGCCGCTCCCAGCGACCCGCTAGTAGTTGAAATTTTGGCACGATAGTTTGCGCGTCGGTGAAAATCGTGTCTGGAGTTCCCCAGCTGTTTGAAGCCGTGGTTGTATGACATAAAACATGATCGAGCTTGGTGATGTATAGAGTAGTGTTTACATTATGCACGAGAGTATGATGTACGGATCTGCAGTATACCAAATATGAATTTATGACGGTCATGTCATGACCTACAAATGTAATTATTTGCGCTGTACTCGTGGACACTGTACAATATGACATTGTACGTGGTTACCACGTGAGATTGTATGGAACGAGACTGTACGAAATGAGACTGTACGATACGATGCTGTAGGGACTTGATACACCATCATATCGTACTCGATACTATCGAGTCCCTCCGTTGTGACGATCGTGAAATCGCACTTCCCTTGTCAAAGTTTGAGTAGTAGTCGTTGTTGTTGTTCAAAACTACGGTATGTATGTATACATATTAGAATAAGATGGAAATTATCAATGGCAGTGAAACGATAACTGATCGTATATGTGCTCAGGTTTGATCCCGCTCCGGGACGAGGTTCGACCTGAGTCAGCATTTGCACGTGCTGTTTTCTTAATATGTTTGAGGATATAATCGATAATCTTTGCTATCGACTATGGAGGCGTCCATAATTCCAGAGCAACTATCGAGTTGAGGACATGAATGCTCTACAGGGCTACGGGACACACGCTTTAGGATGCATGAATGTCCGAGTGAAGTTACCCTAATCAGTGTGGCACGCACTGTGTGCGATACCAGTGCGCGGAAATATGGACATGGTCAACAAGATATGTTGGGGACAACATAAAATTCTAAAGCGTGGAATCAAATTATTATTGTTTCCTGCGCACTTCTATTTGGATCCGTATGTAAACTCTTATAAAATCTGAAGAAACTCTTGAGCTCAGCTGAGTAGAGTGGACATATATTTCAACACTGTGCGATACATTCACAGGTTAAAACTGCGTAGAGGTTTCTATATTCTGATTAGTCTCATTGAGCTTCAGATTGGTTCTTCTCCTGTGTTCAAACTCTTTCTGGTTCAGGAGGAATAGTTTGTAGGCATGTCGAAACGACCCGACTTGAAAGTTAACGAGTCGACAATTGCAAAACTGAGGTCGAGTGCATTAATGTCAGCCAATATAGCGGCTCAGAAAACAGACCGGTGGTTGCTGGCATGAACAGGCCGGAACTGGGCTCGTCAATTTTCGCTTTATATAACTCGACTCGCTCTGCAAGTGACCAAAACTCGTTGACATTTTTTAGACTACAATCAAAAGCATTTGACTAACTCAGCATCGACATTGAGTCGGACTATAAATGCCGCTCCGGGAATGTCGAAAATGGATAAAAAAGGTTAACCATAGTATGTGACCACTACGGTTTGTGATATCGCGCGTAGACGAGGCGCGATTTCCCGGGGGTATCTGAGTGCACGACTGATCCTGTGTTTCACTGAGGCGTATGCCT